TTCAACACAGTATCTCCAAGCATTAAATCTGTAGTGCAGGTGGTTAATAAATAGGACCCAGAACTTGATGACATAAATAACAAAAAGAAGAAACTACTTCAGCGAATCCTGATCAACAGGAATGTTCAAAGAATCCATCCTGTTGATTGACTTCTCTAAATGCGAAAAGACCGGCCAGAGAAGAAAACAAAAGCCACATACATTGTCAGTGGGGACGGATGTAACCCAGAGCCTGCGAGGCCCAAGGTCATCTTACTGAAAACAGCCAGGAGGAAAACTTGTACACAATCACACACAGCTGGATTTGCAGAGGCCATAAACATAAAAAGAAAGCTTGGTGATAGGAACCACCCAGGCTCCAAGTATGACCTGTTATTACTTTAGGATTTATCTTCTGCCTTCATCCCAAAAGGATCAGAGGCAGATTGTAGGAAGAGTCAGGTACTCAGCAGACTCATTTAAATAAGAATATGAGAATCAGAGGAATGTATAGAGGGTGAAGTACCAGCTGAGATCCGTTGCAACTGAAAATAAAACTTAGCTCTGGGCATCCAGACTGAAGGCAGAAAAGCGAACCAGTAGACTGTCATTAGGGGAAGAATCAGATTCAACTGGGAAGGTACATTTTTACAGAATTAAACTTGAAACGTTATCATCAGAAACCTATCCTGGGACTTCATGCATTTGATTACCTCCCACCTCCCAGACTCCTAAAATAAGCTTTAGTGTGCTGTTTCCCTCCTCACAGGTTTGCTGTGTGACCTGGAGCCAATGCCTCACCTCTGAGTATCTCAGGTTCCCCATCCTTTAAAGGGAGGGATGCGCCTGCCCATTTACGAAAAGGAATGAAGGAACCTTTGTCAGCATTAACTGAGTGCTTACTAAACTTCAAAAGCCTTGCGTACATTATCTCACTGAAATCTCCCAATAACTATAAAAGGCAAGCCCTATAAATACGTTACAGATGAGCTCTCTGAGATTCAGAGAGGTAGAGACAGCTGATACTGTCACAAAGCTAAAAAGTAGAAGAATCAGAACTCCATTCCAGGTTTTCATGTTACCAAGGTGCAAATTTAACTGTTAAGACTTTTGCCCTTCTTTTGTGTATCTCAAGCACCTAACAGGTTCCTAGCATATAGTAGGTAATCAGCATACTTGTTTCCTTCCTCACTCCTTCCTTTTCTCCTGAAGTAAAATTATGTATGTAAGGAAAACGGTATGTCTACTGAAATATTATTAGTATCTTATATTTATAGAGCTTCTTTTCCTCTAAGGAGATCACACTACCTAATTTGTTTTCTCTACTAATTTCACCAAAGATCTAGCTATCATTGTGTATTATATCATTTATTTTACAAATGAGGAATTAGAAGGCAACAATCTGCTAGGGTGATGTGCCCAGAGTCATATGGAAGTCACTGCCAAAACCAAATAAAAACCTTGGTCTTCTTTACATCTAAATCAGCCTTTATCCTCTCACATGACACAACCTCCATAATAAAGAACAGATCATTCATTTTTTATCTGGAAAACTACCAAACGAATAATTCAGTAAGGGGCCCCATGACCTTACCACCTTGTCAGAGGGAAGAAAGTATATAAAAAATGAGGTTTGCAGGAGCAGACGGTTTTGGTCCATCAACTTTCTCTTGGATTACACCCATTAACCAACATAAAATACTGCAAAATATAATGTAACAGATCCCCATGTCTTTGGAAATTCAAGTTAAACTCACTGATCTTTCAAAACTTATAAACAATGCACAAGGGCAGCCGTTAACTCGAGTGGGGCTGCAGAGGTGCACATGATGTCAGTGAGTTCTTTGAAAGAAACACATGATCCACAATCGGGCCACTCTAGAAGAATCCAAGTCAGCGACGAGCACTTAGGGGCATCAATTCACAGCATCACAGCATTCTGGAGCTCCAGAAGGGACCTGGAAGACCACTGAGAACAACGCCTTCATCTTGTACATGAAGAACCCGAGGCTCGGGGTGGGAGGATAAGTGGCTTTGCCAAGATTTCACAGACATGAGAGCAAGAACGAAAAAATTAAGCTGCTGACTATATCCATGCCACTTGCGAGTCATGCTTCTGATGGCCATGAGTACACCTAGCACTTTCCAGAATTACCCACCTATACACTGAGCGCAAAAGAAAGAGTCTGAAATATGGTAACAGAAAAACTCAGAATTCAAATTCTGGCCATGTGATCTTGAGGAAGTCCCTTAATTTCTCCGAATTTTAATTTTTTTCATCTATAAACTGTAGGTAATAGTAAACTCCACAAGTAAGCTGCCAGTAATATAAACAAGGGGCCTGCAGAGCCCTGAGTTACACAAAGGCCAACATTAGGTCCACATACAACCTGAACACCCAGCACAGAGGCTGGCACATAACACATTTGTAGGAAATCTGCTAAGCAAATCAATGAACTAACCAAGCAAACAAGTACCGGACTTGAACTCGGGTCTGACTGCTTCTTATATAGCTCCCAATTCATACAATTTCAAAGCAGAGTGTTACTTCTGACTTACAGAGGCCATTTTCTGGCAAAAAAGCAGGAAAAAAAAAGGTCTGCAGGGAAGTTCTTGGACTCTTCAATGTTGGTATTAATTCTTAATGCTAGCATGGGTACATCATGAGGCTCTAGAATCAACTAAACCTGAGCTTCAGCATAAGCTGTGTGACCTCAAAGACACACACATTCTTTGAGCCTCAATTTCCACACCTGGGAAAAAAATCTACTTTACAGAGGTTGTGTGACAAATGCAGCAATCTATATAAAGGAATACAGAATGATGTGTGGCACATGATGACAAGTTCACATTCCACTTCCCTTCTAGTTATTGGGAAGCTTCATTCATTCATTTCACTTAGATACCTGCTCTGATGTCACTTCCTTCTTGAACCTTCCTACCTACAAATAAAAGCCACAACACTCACTATCCCCTTAGCCTGCTTATTTTTCTTCATAGTTCTTACCATCACCCAACATTACATATTTGTTTGTTTACTGTGCCTGTTGTTGTTGTTCAGACACTAAGTTGTGTCAGACTTTGTGATTCCACAGACTGCAACACACTAGGCTTCCCTGTCCTCCACCATCTCCTGAAGTGTGCTCAAACTCATGTCCACTAAGTCAGTGACGCTATCCAACCATCTCATCCTCTGATGTCCCTTGCTCTTCCTGCCCTGTCTTTCCCAGCATCAGGAAATCTTTTCCAGTGAGTTGGCTCTTCCCATTGGGTGGCCAAGGTATTGGAGCTTCAGCTTCAGCATCAGTCCTTCCAATGAATATTCAGGGTTGATTTCCTTTAGGATTGACTGGATGGATCTCCTTGCAGTTCAATGGACTCTCAAGAGTCTTCTCCAGCACCACAATTCAAAACCATCCATTCTATGAGGCTCAGCCATCTTTATGGTCCAATTCTCATATCCACAGAGGACTGGAAAAACCATAGTTTTGACCATACAGACCTTTGTTGGCAAAGTGATATCTCTGCTATTTAATACATTATTCAGGTTTGCCATAGCTTTCCTTCCAAGGAGCATGTGTCTTTTAAAATCATGACTGCAGTAATCATCCACAGTGATTCTGGAGCCCAAGAAAATAAAATCTGTCAGTGGTCAAACCCAGGTCTCCTGCATTGTAGGCAGATTCTTTACCATCTGAGTCACGGGTTTCTTTACTGTGCCTACTTGACTATAAAATAAGCCCCAGGAGGGTGGGGACTTTCTCTTGTTGGTGCTATTTACTGTTCTATCTCAACAAACAGGAAACATCCTGGCATGTAGTTAGGGCTTAATAAATATTTGTTGAGTGACTGAATGAATTCAACATTTACCTGGGGCTTGCTGGGCTTCCCAAGTGGCGCTAGTCGTAAAGAACCCACCTGCCAAGCAGGAGATGTAAGAGACGTGGGTTCAATCCCTGGGTGAGGAAGATCCCCTGGAGGAGGGCATGGCAACCCACTCTAGTATGCTTGTCTCAAGAATCCCATGGACAGAGGAGCCTGGTGGGCTATGGTCCATAGAGTTGCAGAGTCGGACACGACTGAAGCGACTTAGCACACACCAAGTCCTGGAATTAGACTACCGCAGTGGCCTCCAATGATACTCTCTGGGTCCACTCTGTCCCCCTACATTTCATCTGTTAATCAGCAGCCAGAGAGCTCCTAAAAAGTCAACATCAGATCACTCCTCTGCTGAAGGGCCTCCAATGGCTACCCACTATAATGACAGCACAGCCCAGCTACTCATCAGGGCCTGTAATGCCTAGAGCATGGGCCTCTCACCAATCCAACCCCCACACCACCACTGAGACACAATGGCTTTCTCTTCATCAAATATGCCGAGGTCTTATTATTTCTTTTCTTTTTTAGTTTCAAAATAAACATACACTTTATGCCTTTGAAACAAGATCTTAAGTTCTATATATTTACATAACTAACAATATTCTGTTCTTTCTTATACCTAAAATTCTTCAACAAGTGAGGACTAGTGGGAAAATGACTCTTCCAGAAATCTGGGTTAGAGATTACAAGTGTCAAGGTCCTTTCAGACTCAGGGCCTTTGGACTGTCTGTTCCCTCTGCCTGGAAAGCTCTTCCCCTAGGCTGCCTTGTCCTCATCATTCAACTGTCAGCAGAAATGTGACCTCCTTGTGAAGTTGTCCCTGCCACCATCACTTTCAGCAAGTCACTCTCTATTGGAACACACTGTCCTTTCTTTTCTCACAGCATTTCATTATCTGGAATGACTTTATTTATGAGTCCTATCTTCCCATAGGAATGTAAACTACATGAGGACAAGAACTTTGTCAGGTCTACTGCTGCATTTGAATCAATTAAACTGGATCCCAAAAGATGCTGGAGCCGGCCAGGATGAGAGATACAGGTAAAGTACACCATCAGACTAACAGTATCATGGAGTGTTGTTTTTCTTCCAAAGAGAGCTACCCCATTACATCAAAATATGTGAACATCAGCCAGACTTACTTGGGAATGGGTACCCGAATTAGCGTCCCCTCCACTTCTGGGTTCAGATTCATTCCACTTTCTCTTATAGCCTTGATAGCTGCAGCTGTACACTGAAAACCAGATCAAAAGGTAAACAGAATTAGTAAATAATTATTACCAGATGCAAGCCCTCTGTCGATAACTGGCAACCCATCTTGGCAGAACATGGAAACATTTAGTTCTGTTACCAGTAAGATCAGGAAGTTACATTGGTGTAGAGTGCTTTGATCAAGCTGAATAGCAAACTATGTCCACTCCTGGTACCAGTGTATTGCAGGAGGGAAAAAAAAAGCATAGAGGAAAAAATAAAAAGAAAACAGCTCTGCTTCTTTGAAAAGATTTCAATGGTTTGAGGCAACGCAGATCAAAACCACAATAAATCCTCAAGGGAGGGGGGCTGGTCTGTGCAAAGATCGGTGTAAAGACAGCTGAAAGATTTTATACATTAAAAATTCCAGTTGACATTTTACACTCAAAATATACCAGTGCCGATTGGAATGAGTAAATAAATTTAACTCACTCGCATCTATGCTCACACCAACCTCACTCGTGTTTTGGCATGAGCAATGAATCTCTATTGGTATGCGTGCCAAGAAAGGAAGCATGGAAGATCTCAGTTCAAATCCCCACTCTGCTAACCATGTGACCCTGGGCAACAAGCTTGACCTCTCTGAGCCTCCATGTAGTAATCTGAGACGCTGCAGTACTGTACCTCAGAAAGGATTAAATGAGCTAACATGAGCCATGCATCTTCTTCTGTGTCTGGGCGCCTGTAACACCTAGGCAAGGGGCGCTATTATATAAACATATTCAATAAAGATAAGAATGCACAAACCCCCAAAGAACGATGAGCTGATGTCATCACTTAATTGATGCACTGCTGTCTTTTTTTTTCTTCTTCTTTTTTTGTGCCTATACCATGAGGAATGTGGATGTCGGATCTTAGTTCCCCTGAACAGGATTGAACCCATGCCCCCTGCAGCGGAAGTGCAAAGTCTTAACCATGGGACTGCCATCGAAGTCCCTCTTTGTTTAAAAAAACTTTATTTCATCGAAATATAGCTCTTTTACAATGTTAACTTCTGCTGTACAGCAACATGACTCCGTTATACGTAAAGATCTTCTTTCTCATGTTCCTCTCCACCACGGTTTCTCACATAACACGGAGGATTGTTCTCTGGTGCGCTGCTGTCCTGACGCCCGTCAGGGTCTCTTCTGACACAGCTTGCTCTCTATTGGACAAGGTGGCACGCTGCTAACACTGACTTCCCGAATTGCCTCATCTCAGCCGTAAGCAACATTATAGCCACACCTGGTTCGCAATCCTACTGCATAAGAGAAGGCAGTGTGGAAGAGAGAACTCCATTGGCATGACAATGTGCCATTCATGAAAACAAGGCCTCTGATTTTCAAAAGAATTTTAGGTTTGACCAGAGCCAATCCACATTGCTTGGATTCAACGGAGCCAATTCCCAGCCTTGAGTTCCTCCCTAGACTTTCCAGTTTAAATAAATGGGGTTTGTTGCACACCTATTTTATTTTTCCAGGTTGGGTTTTGTTTCAAGGGCGTGACTAAAAAGCTCATCCATTTCATGCTAAAATGACCTGAATTCTACAGGGACATAAGATGTTATCGTTAGGTCAAAAAGACAAACCAGCGTTTCACAAGAAGACAAATCATGCCCCTGGGCTACAGAATTTAACTGTGCAGCCACTGCTTAAAATGATAAATTCTTAAAATGTACCTCTGACCATAGACTACTGGAGCTGGAAGGGATCTCAGACAGAACCAGTACAGTCCCCTCCTGCTGGTAAAGGTCACACTCCTACACAGAGACACAGTCCCTGAAAGTCAAGAGCAACAGTAAAGACCTCGCTCATCACGCTTCTGGCTACTGGCAGTGTTAAGAAGAGGCTCAGCTCCTCAACTCTCCATCCAGTGACGTTACTTAGTCTCTATTACCTCCCAGATCCACTAGTTCAATGTATTCAGTAACTATGGCACAGGGAATTTGATTCTTTTTTTTAATAGCCAAAAGGAATTTGGAACTAGGTCTGGTGTATAAAGCGTATGGCCAAGGTAAATAAAAGAGCTGGATAAAGAAATAAAATTTTCCTCTACAAGAGAACTACCAACTTCCTTAATAAAAATGAAACACAGATTTCTAGAGTTAAACATAAAGGGAGGGGCTTCCCTGGCAGTCCAGAGGTTTGGACTCCGCACTTCCAATGCAGGAGGCACAGTTTCTATCCCTGGCTGGGAGAACTAAGATCCCACATGCCTCTCGGTGTGGCCAAAATATAAATAAATAGACTGATTAATTAAAAAATTAAAAAATTTTTTTAAAAAGGGAGAATCACCACTTTGAAGGACTGACCTGATTTCAAGTCTCCTAACTTTTTCTGAAGCTTTCCATTGAAGGAAAGACTGGTAACGTGGCTGGACACCCCCCCCCACCCCCACTTTCCCTTCACAGTCTGGCCCAAGTGCTGCCACACAGCCTTCCTAGGCTAGCATGGGAGCGCCCACTGCCGCTTCCAAGCGGGGCAGGAGCTACAGCGCAACATTTGCACCTTCCCTGTCCAAGGCTCAGTGCCAGGGACGCAGTGAGTGCGCAGTAAAAGCTTGCTGAATAAGTAGATTAATGCGTATATTAAAGCACCAGCTCAAACCTGTTAGAAACAGTCTTCATGTTTATACCCTCTCCCAAAAGCCTTATTTTGTACCATTTTACACCTGTTCTGTGTCCTTTTGCATGCAGAAAAAAATGTGAACCAAGAGTGATTTCATTTGCAAAAAAAAAAAAAAAACCTACTGAAAGATGTAGTTCTTCTGAAATACTTTAAACATGTACATTTTAGTTTGATATGGAAGAATACAGAAACTCAGGGAATTATAGTCATTTTCCCAACATGACTTCTGACCTACTCATGGTTCAGACAAGAAGGCATGCATTTCTATCACATTTCCATTTCCTAGCCTTTACCCCTCACTGAAGAGATGCCCACCAGCACCCCAGTGCAAACAGATGCTCTCCAATGGCAAAAATGACTCACTGGTTGTGGCTGCTTGGAGTACTGTGTTGAGAAAGATCACAGATCCCATGTGGTGTTAGGCAGGACCGAGCGCTGTGATCAATTAGCAATGTCTGCTATTACTGCGTGTGTACATGCTCACTCAGTAGTGTTTGACTCTTTGGGACCCCAGGGCCTATAGCCTGCCACACTCCTCTGTCCATGGGATTTTTCAAGCAAGAATACTGGAGTGGGTTGCCTTTCCTCCTCCAGGGATTCTTAAACTAATAAATCCAATTCATTCATGTCTACACTCACATCTATGTGCATGTGTATGCTACAGGACAAAAGATGATGAAATTTTTGTAGACAGGTGAACAAGTCCTTGACAATCTGGGTTCAAGTCAACAGCTTTGCAGAGACTCAACAAAAATACTTGTGGAATTAAGGAACAGATGGTGAAAGGAGCACAGGATTTAGAGTCAAACAGACAGACATAAGCTCAGGTCCTGGCTGTACGGCCACAGTGTCAATCTGTGGAAGAATTCTACTTTTCTGAGCCTCAGATGCCTCCTCTAGAAAACGGACTTAAGTCTAACTTTAAACAGTAGCTGTGCTGATCACATGAAACAAAATATGAGAAAGCAATGCCTAGCAGCCCTGTAGACACTCAACACACCTTTCTTCCTTTCACAAGAGCAATAAAGGAGCCTGCAGAATTTTTTTTTTTTTTTTCATTTGCTTTACTCAAATCATGCTGTGGTCTGTTTTTTTTTTTTAAACTCCCTTCTTTCCCATCATTAACTCTAGCTGCAGGCAAGTTTATGGAAGGTAGTAACTTGTGAGTATCATTTATCAAGCAGGACACATGCTAAACAAATGCAATGCAGTTTTCTGCCCTCAATGCATTTAAAAAGATTATGCATGTAAATCTGCATCATGTCTCTATGGCATGACCCAGAAATGCCCAGGTTTGAAAAGAAAGCCAGCCGCATGTGAAACAGAAAGGAAGTCTATAAACACAGAGAGGATTAGCTCAGCATTTTGAAGCTATAAACCTGGGCGCTCCATGGACAACGTCGAAACCAGAGGAAGGAAATGTTTAGTTAGAGCTGTTTGTTTAATATATACACCAGATGAGATAAAGGAATTCAAAAGACAATGTAACTCACACTTCCTCACTCTGTCCTTGTAAGGAGCCTCTCTACTAAGGTTAACTGTAGATGTGGTTTTTGTTTTGTTTTTTTCAAAACTCACAGAATTTCAACTTGGAGAAACGGCAAAGATGCCTTGCTTGGAAAATGAAGATATATTCCAATTTCCTAAGAAAAAATTAAGCTGTTAATACCTCCTCCTGCCTCCTAAGATGCTCTGGTAGCCAATCAGGTGCTTCTTCTGTGAATGCCATTTGCTATTTAATAACAGAAGTGGCTGGCTCTGAAAAGCAATCTGCCTGATGAGGTCTTCAAGCTGTGTAATTAGGAGGCTATTCCCTAAATTGGCCCGTGGTGACTGTGGGATCAGATGAACAAGGCGGAGAGGCCTCAGTGGTTCAGAGGGGCCAGAAGGGGAAAGAGCTAACAGTTCCCTTTCTGTCCATTTCTCTGCTCCTCAGGAACACCACGAATGAGTGCCTCCCTTCCATCAACCTAATGACAAGTATTCACCCATTTGAAGGAAATTTACTAGGTGCATCCATGTGTCAGGCACAGTGTTTGGTGCTGGACAGAATGAGCAAGTTGGATATGATTCCTACATTCCAAGCTTACAATCTAGTGAAAGGGAGATGGAAAACTAAGATGTAGATCAGTGCATAACTACTAATAAGTACAATGAAGAAAAAGAACTGTGCTGTATAAAAGTGGTTAATATAGAGGAATAATTGAGATTTTACATAGACTAGGAAAGACTTCTCTGAGAAAGTAATATGAAAGCTGTGGTCCAAAATACGGATAGTAATTAGCCAGACAAGAGTGATCCAAGCAAAGGAAACAGCATATGCAAAGGCCCTGAGGATGCTAAGGTTTGAGGAACTGAAAGGCTAGTGGGCAGAGCAGTGTGCAAGGGTGACAGTGGCATGAGACTGGGGAGTCTGCAAGAGACAGGCAGGGGCCATTTCACACAAAGCCTTCTAGGCCACAGTCACCTTCTTCTCAAAGATTACTTGAAGCCACTGATAAACTCAGTGCCCGGGAATGACATAATCCAATAAATATTAGTATCTTTACAAGTTCACTCTGGCTAAAGTACAGAGAACACAATAGGGGAGAAGTGAGTAATACCCCCACAAATATGGGCACATCGGCTGCAAGAGCCCCCTGATTTGAAACAGTTTGTTCATAGCAAGGGCTTACTCTTATCTCTAACCCAGTTTTGTCAAATCCAGCAGGTCCAACTTTGGTCTGTCTTTGGGCTAGAATTACTGAGAGACCATGGGAATAGACAGAGACTTCAGATTCCTTCACCTCACGTGAACAGATGAGGAAATGGAAACCCAAAGAGTGATGCAAACTACACAGACAGTTGGCAAGAGGTGGGACCAGATTCCAGGTCCTCAGGAGTCCTAATCCAGGTCACTTCTTACTGGATCAGTAAGGAAAAGCCGATTTATCTTCCCCAACCAGACTTAAAATCACAGCCTCCCGGTTGCAATGATCTAATGCAATCCACCTTCCAGCCCTGGAAGCACTGTGCTCTGGGCAATATTCTGCAATGGCCAGTTGAGTCTGAAAGGAATGTGAATTCCTGGAAGGTTTGCTCCAAATAGGGCTGCCCTGGTGGCTCAGACAGTAAAGAACTCACCTGGGTGGGGAAGATCCCCTGGAGGAGGGCATGGCAACCCACTCCAGTATCCCTGCCTGGAGAATCCCCGTGGACAGAGGAGCCTGGCAGGCAACAGTCCATGGGGTCACAAAGAGTCAGACCACTGAGTGACCAAGCACACACAGCACAGCACTTCTCCAAATAATAATGCAAAAGTCACAAACTAGTGGCCCACAGGACAAACATAGCCCATCAATATATTTTGTCATAGACTTAAAACACACCCATAAAGGGAATTAGTTATCAACATTTAGCAAAGATCTTACATAGAAATTGGGGCTATTGGCTTCTTTGGTAAATAAAAATCTTAGTATCTGGTAGTATCTGATTACCAGGCCTACATTTCTGCCTGGGAAGGATCAGCAGCAACTGGGCAAAAGCTGCTCCTTTCAGACAGGGCACAGGCTCTACAGTTTACCCTTGCCCTTCCAATTACCCCACTACCGTTATTGTTTGTCTTAGATGGGGCCTGTGTCAGTATTCAAATTACTTGCCTGGGCTCTATAGTGTTTGAGTAAAATAGAAAAGGAATTTAGAAACAGGAAGAGAGCTTTTTGTATCCTTAAATTCCCTTTGTTATGCCTTGTCTGTTGTTTCACCCCAAAGTGAAGAGAATACTTCCTCCTGACTTGCTGTAGTCCCCTGCATTACAAGGGAGACCACGGAGAGGGAGCCCGTGAGCTAGGCCACCTTACCTCCGGGAAGCTGGCCATATTCACCAGTATCAGCTGTGGCGACTTCATGGAGATCTGGCCGATCTGGTTGAGAGCAAGCTTCCCATCAGCAGTCACCACAGTGATATTATCAAGGGATCCTAAAAGGAAAATTAAAGAAAGGGTCTTAGAATTCAGAAGGACTTTTAGTAACCTCGCATCTAAGTCTCTATCAATTCAGATTCAACTAATGTTTAGAGAAATATCAATAACTTCAGATATGCAGATGACACCACCCTTATGGCAAAAAGCGAAGAGTAACTAAAGAGCCTCTTGATGAAGGTGAAAGAGGAGAGTGAAAAGGCTAGCTTAAAACTCAACATTCAAAAAACGAAGATCATGGCATCTGGTCCCATCGCTTCATGGCAAATAGATGGGGAAACACTGGAAACAGTGACAGACTTCATTTTCTTGGGCTCCAGACTTTAAAGAAGCAGTGATGTCGTGTGATGGGAAGAGCTTTGAAATGTTGAAAGAACTAGGCTGAAATCCTTGCCAGCACCAGAGTAGCCAAGGATCTGATCTGCCTGGTCCTGCATGGTTCCCTGTGACACAGGGCTTTGACAGCTGGAACTGGAGAGTGTTGATCACCCTTCCAGCTATGTCACCACTTACTAACATGAAACCTCGGACAAGTTCATCACAGTCATCTTCTCAGTACCTTGGTTTCCAACTCAATTAAAAAATACTTTACAGGACTAAAGTATAGATTACAACTCGATATAAATAAGCAAAGATACAACAGACTCACACAAAAAATAAACATAAAAATAGGTACCTCTTACTAGCCCTTCTCACAACTAGTCTGTAACATTGTATCACTGTATACACTTTACACCAGAGAAGGAAACTGAGGGAAATAAAATGAGCCAAGTCACAGAGCTAACAAAAGGAAAACCCAGCAAGAGCCCAGCCCCAACTCAGGTGTGCTTACTACCAACTCTAATCAAGGCTCTTTCCCTTATCAGTGGAACTTAACTTGCGCTGCACCATTCAGAAGTCTCCAGGGAGCTTTTAAATTTAGATTCCTGGGTCCCACTCCCCAGAGATCCTGATTCTGTAGGGGCTCAGGAGCCTGCCGTCTTGGGGGCACTTGTAGTTTTCTTTCAAGATGACCGCATGATTCAGACATGCAGCCAGGTTTGAAACTGTTACCTCGTACCACCTTGATTTTGGCACTTAAGACTCCCTTTAGGAACTAAAAAAAAAAAAAACCAAAAAACAAAAAAACCCCACCAATTATTACCACACTTCACTGATACCCTGTATCTGATCTTTGTCTATATCTGAATTAGGGGAAACCTTGGGCAAAATTTTCTTGTCAAGAAGGCAAGTATATTGTTACAAGACAATATAAGGGGCATTACTCAAACTCCCTGATTTCCTATGCAAATGAGAACTAGAAGAAAACTTTACCATTCATTTTAAGAATCACTAGAGAATGGCTCATTCTGACACACCAAGTGAGTGAGTGAGTGAGTGAGTGAGTGAGTGAGTGAGTGAGTGTGTGTGTGTGTGTGTGTGTGTGTGTGTAGTGGGAGAGGTGTCAGTCTTTTCAACAAATTGGGAGCTGTCCTAGCAAATTGTTAGGCTAATGTAGTTCCACACTATGCCCCTAAGATCTGATTTGAAGCACAGTATTCAACTCAATTCAATGCCATCACAAGTTAGAAGGCTGTTGACACCATTGGCTTCAATCTGGAAAAGTCCATGATTCTGAAGACCAATGACCTGGGTTCAAATACCAACCCTGCCACTTCCTGAACTGTATGACCTTAGGAAGGTCTCCTGAACCATCTGGGCGTCTGTTTCCTGACTTCTAAATGGGGCATTAAAATCATACTTATCGCACTGGGTTGTTATGAGAGTTAAAAGAGTTTATGGAAAGCCGTTATACTGTCCTGGCATATACAAGGGCCCAATACATGCTATTATCATTATGTCTCAACTTTCTCCTATATTTTAACCAAACTAACCTACTAACAGTTTCTCTAATACAGTCTGTTCTCTCTTGCCTTAGGATCCTCAGCATATATTTTTCCTTCTACTAAGGATACCCTTCTATTCTCCGATAATTTCTGCTCACTCTTGAACACTCAGCTATGACTGCATCTAATCTCAGAAATCCTGTCTGACCTCTTACGCTGGATTACAAATTCTTTATGAGCTCCAGGGTCCTACATACAAATCTGTAATAATGATGACCCATCTTTACCGAACACTTTCTAGGGCAAGACATGGTTCTAAATGCTTTCTATACTTTATTTGCTTTTATTATCACAATAAACCTGTGAGACAGTTCCATCATTTTACAGATGTGGAAACTGGGGCACAGAAAATAACTTGTCCAAGGTCACAAGAGCCCATAATGGGGCCTGAATTCAAACCTAGACCTGATCAACTCCAAAGTCATGGTCTTCACCACTCTACTTTGCTGTGGTTTTACACGTTGGTTTACTTGTCTATCCCTACACACTAGGATCTAGACTCCTGGAAGATGGGGACAGTGTCTTTTCTCTCTGAATCTACAGCACCTATTAAACAGCACAGAATAAGTGCTTAATAATACATTGATGAAGAAATAAATGTATGTATGAATGAATGAATGAGAGGACAAGAATGAAGAATCAAATAAACCTGTGTTTTAGACAACTATTAAAAGCAATCAATTCTGTCTTCAATCTTGGAGACAGAAATTGCTGGTAGACAGACAGAGGTATAAGGGGAAAAATGTCTGCTGGTTCAGGTAGTATTGAAAAGTATTGAAAGTATTCCATATCATATGGAATAATGGAATATGGAATAATCTGGGGGAAAAAAAGTAAAATAAAATGAAAGACTGGCTAGGTTCAGCCTGTTTCACCTTAGTCTCTTCATGGCCCCAAGTTCTACACAGAACGCTGTACAAACATAACCCTGAAGAGAAAGAAGCAAAGAGGAAATACCAGCGGGAGGCCTTTTGAAAATGGATCTTAATTCAGCCTTCCTGATTTGCCATAAGATCCTCTGCCACAGAAGTCCCAACATGGGCTTTTCACCATGCAATTGTGGTGGTTCCCATTCCCAAAATCCATATCGACATAATGCATCAAATCCTTTTCCCTCAATCTGTCCCCAGCGAGCATCTCCCTCAGCCTCATTCCTGCCCCTCATTTTTGCAGAGGTTAACATTTAACAAATTACACTCCCAACCTCTTTCCAGGCCCATCATCTTTTTAAGTTCAACAAGAGTGGAGCTTGCTGGCCAATTTGAAGTATCACATTTCTCCCTGAGCTCCTCTCAAACTGCTCTCTGGTTTCGGCTGCAGAATGTTAACAGGCCAGAAAGCACAGGGGAGACAAAGCACTTTATCAGCTTCATACCTAAAATAATAAGCAAGTTTAAAATAAACAGTCGGGAGAGATTGAATGGCACACTCTACTGTCAGCAAAGGCAGAAATGCCCCAGTCCAGGGTTGACAAATGATAGAATGGTCTTCTGGTTTCACACTGGATCTCATCTCTGATGTTTCTGCTGGTGTTTATAGATGGAGCTGTAGATTTTTCACTTGGTTTTCTTAAGAACAAGTTCATGAAATATTTTCTAGCTTTCTTATGAACTATCCCAACCAAAATGTGAGCGGGAGCAGCCCAAGCTCCCACAGATATTTTCCAAGGGGGTCCTGGGCTTGACTCTAGGATGATGACAATTTCCAAAAGGCCAATTTAATAGCAATTGGATTTTTCCTGCCTGCCTGCACCATTAGCTGACAACTCACTTCTTCCATCACATCTGCAAACAGTTCTCCTAGACAGTTCTGACATTTCCCACTTAGAAAAGCCATTTTCAGGAAGTTATTAACCCAAACGGAATCTTCCTGGTCAAGCCCAGGGGTATAGAAATGCCTCAGGTGGGCATGTTTGCAGCCAGTTGGTCCCCAGTAAGGGATAAGAATGGCCAAATCGGACAAAAAATGGACAAATCAGACCAAAGATGTCAGTTACTATGAGACTAAATACCTACAAGTTTTTAGAATACAGTAATAATGAAAGTCCCATTTTCTGACAGTATGATTCCATGAGAGCAAAGATCATGCCTATTTTTGTTTACTGGGAACCAGCACAATGACTAGTTCATAGCAGACAAGTATGTGCTAAATGGATAAATGCAGTGTTAATACATGCTGGGCACTGTACAAGAATCATTACACATGTTACCTCACTTATTTTCATCCCCATCCCAAAGCTAGAAGGCGGGAATTAGACAAGGAAACTGAACACCAGAGAAGTAAAGTAACTGCCAGCGGTCACCAAATAATACGTGAAACCCAGTTCTGCCAAAGCAATGTTCTTGCCACTGTGCCCCTCTCCAAAACACAGGTTCACTCACTAACCTGGTGAGGTCCTTATATTGACAGTCTTATTGAAATTATCCTTGAGTGTTTCGATCACAGATTTCATTTCTTCATCCACTTCTTCCAAGTTGATGATATCCTCAACTAAGGCAGCGTTAAGATTCATTCTAGTTTGGGACTGTCCTTTCCCTTTGGCTAGAAAGTCAACATTCAATGAATTTAAAAGAAAAAACAAAAGCATAAATAGAGACAATAAACAATGAGTTAAGAAAAAGAGAGACACAGAAAATATATTAATTCATTTAAAAATGAATCCTAAAACAAGGCCATGCAAAGTATCTGATGGCTGGTACAGACAGAAAGAACAGCAGTGGTTTAGCAACATGAAACACTACCAACGGTAGTGACAATGGCTTATATTTTAGAAAACCAACAATATTGAGAACTGAGTAAAATTCTAGTTTGTATCTAAACCATCATAGTGATGTTTCATAAGCATCTATAATATATATATGCATAGCTCACTCTCGTGAGTAATACAAATATTCTTGCATTCCTTTATGTAGGGTGTGGGAAGAGGGAAAAGAATAAAAACATTTAAACAGTACTATCCTATACTTGATTATTTATTAAATACTCAACATTTATTGAGATCATTCACAACAAATTTCATTAAACATCTACAATAAGTTAGATCCTGTGCTATCTGTATACCATAATACAATTTGCAATGCAATTTCAAGTACATTCTTCTATTAGAATTCAAAGCAGCCCTCTGACATAGGAAGAACAGATTATTATTGTTCCCATTTTACAGATAAGGAATCTGAGGAACAGCTATTTAAATGTTTTGCCCAAAGTAACCAACCAGTAAGCAGCAGAGTGATTTTTTTTTTGAACATTTATTTGCTTGTGTCATCATTTTGCTTGAAAGCTCTGAAGTTAACAGGCTAATGGCTTAGAATTTTCAGAACGATGAAAGAGCTGAATTTTCAGATTTAGAAACAGTTTCAAACAGGATAGTAAAAGCAAATTCATACCTAGACATTTTGTGAATGCAGAAAACCAAGGACAAAGAGGCTGTGAAAACAGCCAAAGAGAAAAGACAAATTACCCATAAAGGAACTTGTGCTCATCAGTATCAGAAAGTTCTATTAAGACTAATTCACAAAAATTTAAAAAAATTCAAAAGCCTAAGTTAATATTAGCAAACCAAATCCAGCAACATACAGATTATGGATCAAGCAATGTATATGCACATCACATATAAGAACAAGGAGGGCTTATACCAAGAATGGAACAGTGGTTTAATATCAGAAAAGGCTATTAATGTTGAGCCACCACATTCATAGATTGAAAAAATTTTTTAAATACTCACTCAATAAATGCAGCAAGAGCACCACTAAAAAAAATTAATATCCATTCAAAACAAAAACTCTTAGCAAAACAGGGACAGAAGATACTTGCTTAAAAGAGAGACTACCAAAAAATAGAGCAAACATAATTCTTGATGTTAACACATAAGAAGTGTTCACTATAAAATCAGGACTAAAACACGGATGACTACTATCAATAATCACTTTTATTCACATATAGCTGATTCACTTTGTTGTACAGCAGAAACTATCATAATATTGTAAAGCAATTATACTCCAATAAAAAATCACTTTTATTAGAATTATAATAGAATTCCTAGACAATGTAGTTGGAAGGAAAGGAGAGAAGGAGGGAAGAGGGATGGAGGAAAGAGAGAAAAGAAATAAAAGGGATGTGGTATAAAGATTGGGGAGGGAAAAACAAAGCTATCTTTAAATATAGGTATTTTAATTATCTACATAGAAAATCCAAAAGAATACACAAACAACGGTTCTAATAAGAGTTCAGCAGAGTTGCAATATACAAAATCAATGTATAATTATCAAAAGTATTCCTATTCACCAGCAACCAAACAGAACACATAATTTCTAAAAGACATAAACTTAAAGCAATGACTTACAAAAAAATAATATAGAATATATTTTTCACATTAAGGCAGGGGAAAATTTCTTAAAAAGGAAAAAAAGAGCACTACTAATAAAAGAAAAAGATTGACAAACTGGACTACATTAAAATTAAGAACTTCTGTTCATCAGAAAAAAAACACCATGAAAAGGTAATCATTATCAGCAATACATATATATGCAAAAGTCTTGTCTTTAGAATACATTAAAATTCTTAGAAGTCAATTTTCAAAAATCAGGTCAATTTTTTTTTTTTAATGGGCAAAAGACTGGAAACAAAGAGGATATCCAAATAACCAGTAAACAAATGAAAGGTGCTCACCATCACTATTCATCAGTGAAAAACAAATTAAAACCATAATGAGATATAACGGCACATTCATTAGAATGACTAAAATTAAAAAGGCTGACCATACCAAGTGTTCACAAGTAGATAGTGGGTAATTAGCAAATAAAAAGCTAAAACACCCTGGGGAGGACAGTAACCTAACATGACCACTCTGGAAAACTGTATGTTCTGAAACTGAACTGAAATTTATATATACATAACCCAAGGCTCAGTAATCCTTCCTCTTGGTACACATCCAGTAGAAAGGCAAACTTATGGGCACCAAAATGCAAGTTCACAGCAGCATTATTTATTTTAGCTCAAAACTGGAAGCAACTCAAATATCCATCATATTTATTTTAGCTCAAAACTGGAAGCAACTCAAATATCCATCAACTATAGAAAACATACAGAAATCGTGGTACACACATTCATTGGGATACTATAAAAAAATTAAAATGTACCAACAACTACTACAGACAACAACAAGGACAAATTTCACATGTAGGTTGTTATCAAAAGAAGCCAGGCATGGAAAGAATTCATTCTGAGTTCAAAAACGGCAAAACGAAATCTGTAGTGTTAAAGCCGAGAGAGGGGGCTGTCTTTTGAAGGGGAAGACCTGAAAAGCACAACAGCAAAGCTTCCAAAGTACAAGCGACGCTCTATATCTTAATCCAGGTGATAGTTACATAGCTGTGTTCACTTTGTGAAAATTCACTGAGTACTTACAATTTATGTACATACTTTTTCTGTATATATAACTCAAAAGTGGGCTTTAAAAAACATCATATGCCAAAGTGACAAAAAATGATGATAGTCTAGAAATAAACCTAATTGAAGAACTGTGTAAGATCTGTATGGAGAAAACCTGACAATATGATTATAAATGTCACAGAGAAGAGAAAAGGCCAAGAAGAAGAAGAAGAAAAAGCTAGTGTATTCTGAAGGGAAAGATCTGTACCACCAGATTCAAGACTTTATGACAGTGATTCGGGCATTAGGGAATTTAGTGCAGGGAGAGATGAGCAGTTCAACACATCAAGAGCTCAGAAACAAATCATATGTATGAAGAAACATAACATATGACAGAGGAGGCATTACAGGTCTGGGAGTAGAGTTTCCCTCAATGAGGTTAACCTCCTCGGTGGTCCAGTGGTTAAGAGTCTACCTGTCAATGCAGGGGACACAGGTTTGATCCCCGGTCCAGGAAGATCCCACGTGCCGAGGGGCAACTAAGCCTGTTCCCCACAAATACTGAGACCCTGCTCCCCAATAAGAGAAGCCTCTGCAATGAGAAGCCTGTGCCTCACACTAGAGAGGAGCCCCCAGTCGTCGCCAACTAGAGAAAACCCACTGGAGCAATAAGGACCTAGCACAGCCAAAAATAAATAGATTTTAAAATATTTTCCTTTTTGAAAAGATAAGTGAGGTTGACACACTTATTACTCATTTCAAAAAGAAATAAGATTAGATTCCTTATCTCATATCATATTCAGAAATAAATTCCGTTACAGATTAAAGACCCAAATATGAAAAGTAAAAACCTGCCAAATATTTAGGAGAAAATACAGAAGAAGAGATTGATGACTTTTGGATAGATGAGGGTATGTTAAATAAGACTGAAAAAGCACAAATGATAAAGGAAAGAACTGAAAAATATGATGGCATTAAAACTGATGTTCAATGAAAGACATTATCAAGTAAAATGGCAAAGTAGATAGCCGTAACATATACATATTGACAAAGGATCAGCACTCTTAATATAGAAAGAATCCAATAAATCTAAAGGAAAAAGTCAAACAACCAACTTTTTAAAGAGGCAACCCAAGAAGATAAAATCTGAATATGCAATTAAATGTGAAAAGATGCTGCTTGTGGGCTGCAGCTACCATCTGGGCCACTAGACCACTGCAGTGCTGTGGGCACAGGGCCCCGGATTTCAGCTCTGCCACTAACTGGGTATGATCATGGGCAAAGGTCTTACACATCAATCTCAGTTTCCTCACTTGCAAAATGGTGAGATACGTGGTTCACTGGGTATTTAGAAGAACTTCTTCACTGGGTAATTATAATTCTTTCAATGGGTAATTCATAAAGGTCAAATTAAATTATTAAATGTACATTAATTAAAAATATATATATCAAGCAACCTACAGATCCAAAGTTATTACCATTATCACTATTAACTGAATATAAGTTTTCTATGCATTAATGCTTTTCTGACAACTTGTTAATTTTCCTGTTAATAGGAAAGGAGAAGGTCTGCGTGAAACCATAAAACAAAAGCAGTGGGAAAAAATATTCAGCAGCATATTTCAAGCACCGCACCATCCTTGCACATGAACTCCCTGACCCACCACTGCAAGTGTTAACAGCAGGTCTGCTTGACAATGTTCTGTCATTCATTCCTTCAACAAAACTTTTTAATATATACTATGTGTCAGGCCCTGTTAGCTCCTAAACAAAAAACATAGACTGAAAAGAAAAAAAAAGACAGAGATGGAGTTTTTCCTCACAGGGTCCAGTATGGAAGACATAACAAACAATAATCAATCCTACAATTAATTAATTGATTAATTAATGAGTGCTTTGCTAAGTACATCAAAGATAAAATAACCGTGTGCACAAGTGCATGTAACAAGGGAACTGACCCAGCCCAAGAGGTCAGGGAAGGCTTTCCTGAGGAAGCGACGTTTAAGCTGAGACCTGAGTTATATCAAAGTCTCATTCTTGGATGACACAAGCCATTAAGATCATCCATCTAAATCCTCGGCTCTCATATGTCCTCACCCAACAAACTTCTGCTTTTAATTTTACTTCCAACACAGATCTACCTGGGAGGAGAAAATACATTGATCCCTGTCTCAAGTATTCTGGCTTGCTTGGCACTTACACCTCTAATTCTAATCTAAAACAAAACAAGTCGTTTTCTGAGCTATGGCAACATATGGGGCAGTATGGAAGTGAGAAAACAGACCCCCAGTTCTAATACCATATCTGTCCCTGTGACCTTTCAAGCCTATCAACTGAACTACCTGAGACTCCACTTCGTGAGGCACGGGGAGAAATTCAGAACATCTCTGAGATCCCTTCCAGCTCTGATCATTCAAAGAGCTAAATATAAGACAGGGGCGAGGAGGTCACGTCTCTACCTTTGGCTTTCTTGGTAGCAAAATGACGGACTGGTACGGTGGCATAGGCCATGTATTGCCCACGGTCATCCTGTCTTCCTCTCACTGTCTGCAGCGTGACTTCTGAAACAGGTCTGGTCAAGGCTGTAAGGGAGCTGCAGAAGGCAGGGTGGACCAAGCGGAAGCACCTTAAACCCAAGGCCATGACTGAAGACAATCCTTGTGAACATCCGCTAAAAAGAACAAGACAAAAAGGAGATCTAAGTAAAACAGACTCTACTGTTAGTGCAACTTCAGAAAATAACCTGTACCAGTTAGCAAGCAAATCCTATCAGCAGAGCCTATCGATCCGTTTTGACCTGTGTGCTAGGTCAGGGGTTCCCAACCCGTACCAGTTCATGGCCTGTTAGGAACTGGGCGGCAGGGCAGGAGGTGGGCAGCAGGTGAGCCAGCAGAAGCTTCATCTATATTAACAGCAGCTCCCCAGCCCTCACATTGCCGCCTGAGCTCCGCCTCCTGTCCGATGAACCGCAGCGGTAGATTCTCACAGGAGCATAATTAATGCACTTGAATTAACCTGAAACCAACCCCACCCCCTGCCCAGCTCCGGTCAGTGGGGAAACTGTCTTCCATGCAACCAGTCCCTGGTGCCAATAAAGGCTGGGGACCGCTGTACTAGATAACTTAAATACATTATCTCCAGCCCTCCTCCTAACAGCTGTACAAGGATGTATGATTAGCCCCATTTTATAGGACAAAGAAACTAAGGCTCACAGAGATTTAAATATCTAGCTCACAGTCTGTAGGACGCCAAATCGCCACGCTCTTTCCACTACAGCAAATGCCAATTAGTACACAGGGAAGAGAGTTAAGTAAATGCATAGCAGCCTAAATCCTTAATGATGGTAATTAAACCCTTACAGGAAAAAAAAAGCACAAAATCTTGATAAAGTTACACTATAAAGAGTAACGGCAGAGCACTGGAAGAGAATTTTACATAAAATCATTTCAACAGGCATAAAATGACTGGAAAACTCACACAACAGCATTTAATTAAAATTTTCTTTGGTTCCTTATGCACTGATTACCAATTAGAATGCACTTTAATGTGAGTCTGAAGCATAGCTGAGGTTTGAGGTCTTCCATGTTATAGAACTAAAGCTCTGGAAAATGCCACCCTCCTCGGTGTTAACACAAGTTACACACGATCCCTCTGAGGTTTTTGACCGTGGAAAGACGCTAAAGCCTACAGCTACCCCTGCGATAGAACAACGGTTCTAGCTTACGGGCAAATCCGGGCCTTCCCCTTTGGCTCAGTGGTAAAGAATCTGCCTGCTAATGCAGGAGACACAATTTGATCCCTGGTCTAGGAAGATCCTCTGGAGAAGGAAATGGCAACTCACTCCAGTATTCTTGCCTGAGAAATTCTATGGACAGAGAAACCTGCTGGGTTCCAGTCCATGAGGTCACAAAGGCTCAGACACAATTGATCAACTAACATACAGACACACATTACAGTCTGAGTAAGAGCATGGGTTTTGCAGCCAGAAGGTCTAGAATCCAAGCCCATCTCCACCACTACCCAAATGCCTCTGAACGTCACTGCACCTTGACTTCCTCAACTGTAATAAAATGGAGATAATTATAGTTATTTCTTAGGGTTGGGAAAAATAAATTAATGTAAGTAAAACACGTGGCACAGTGTCTAACAGACAACAGGAGTACCCCCTAAAGAGTATCTATTGACAGCTATCACCTTTCCTTTCAAAAACTTCCATGCCAGAGTCAGACACAACAAAGAAATCTTTCATGTCATTACTAAAGTACAAGGAAGCCAAAAGTCACTCATATCTGGATATGAATTTCAACTTGTGGCTATTCATTTCACTTTCTGGGCATCATTTTCCTCATTTGTAAAGTGAGGAAAAAAAAATCCTGTTTTAAAATAAAATGAAGTAGTGAGTGTATTTAACAACCAAGTACAGTGCTGGGAATATGGCACCTGCTGTAATTATTACTTTTTTTTTTTAAGAAAAGCAAATGAGTTGCACAAAGGCAAATAATTTCTCCCGATGGAATTTTTAATAGCAAGAGATGCTAGATTTTAATGATCAGTGTATGTCAGTAAAAACAGATCTAGATAAAAAAATAAAAAATGTTTCCTCTTTTTAATCATTATCAATAGCTACTATTAACAGAGGTCAGGCCCGGCCTGCTTGCTTTACCCACAGTATTCATTTAATCCTCTCAAAAATGCTATAAAGAAAAGTATAATAATCTCCTCTTTATAGATGTAGGAACTCAGGCTCTAAGAGACTGTCATTGACCAAGAGGCTGGAGCTAATAGCTTTGCTCTGTAGCAGCAGCACTGTTCGCAGATTTTGCCTCTAAGTGAGGTTTCTATATCTAGGTTTTTGCCTAATATAGCCAATGCCTAACCCATACTTATATCCAAATATGGCTGTATAATAAGGTGCTTTTTTTTTTTAATCTACAGGGTCTCAATCTGGCTGTTCCATTTAAGACAGGTTTCCTGGTGTTCCTGTTGCAGGTCATAATACCAATCCACAAAGCAACAGGAAATCAAAATGGGTTAGAAATAAACAACCTTTGACAGAAAACTCAACACCCAAAAGCGGACCCAGTACACGTGAACCGGAAGACGACTCTATAAATAAACCACATTGCTGAAATGCTTAAGACATAGATTTTAAACTGCACAGAAGTCAGGAAACTTCAAAGTGGAAATTCAATAAAGGCAGCCCCTTGGACTCTTTACCTTAAGAATATTCATATCAGCACTCAGTTCAGCACAGAAGTAAAGACAAGGAAAGGAACCATCATGCAAGGCCAAGTATTCTACAACAAAATTAACCTACAGTTGGAAAAAAATGCAGCAGGAAACATCTGACCTTTGGATGAAGTCTTGAACTGAAATGTCAGTTTGCCCACTTACTAGCAGTGTAAACTTGGGGAGGTCAACCTCTCTGAGCTACAGTTTCTACTGCACCTTTTTCATGGTGATATTAACGAGCCTTTAAAAAGGTAATTATAACAATAATAATGAAACAATAGCTTATAATTTTATAGTAATAACTATGTGTCAGAAACAGTTCTAAGTGCTGTATTGCATACATTAACTCATTTGAGCCTCATAATAACCCTAGGAGATAAGTACTTATTATTATACCCATTTCATGGATAAAGACACAGAGGCAAAGATAAACAATTTGCTCAAGATTTTAATCCAGGCATTTTTGTTCCACAGTCTGTGCTCTTAAGCACTATCCTATACTGTGTACATAAAACAGTGCAATTACTGGCATTATTTTTCAAACTGTTACATATTAAAAAACAAAACAAAACCTGAGGCATGTATTCTTTATCCAAAGCTGAGATTCTCAAAACTTGAATTTTCCCACTTTTCATAGAAGGTGCATTTTAACTTTGGAAGGAACTAGATGAGGAAGACAAAGTCCTGGTTTATCCACCATCCCAGCAACCCCTACAAATTCAGTTGTGTATTAGTTTATAACATGTAGATTCTTATAATATGGGTGTGCACACACAGGTCCTTGTTGTATATAAAATACTTTCACATGTATTACCTGATTCCCACAATAACCAGGCAACATTGTGATTACCGCTCACATTGTACAAATTGGTAAACTGGTCTTTCATTTCCTTGAATAATTTCCTGCACCAGGGTCTTCAAAAATACTGTTGAATCTGCTTGGAATGGTATTCCCTCACCTCATTAATGAACTTCTCTTTCAGACTTCAGCTGAAGCACCACTTCCTCAGAGGATGCCTTCCTTGGCTGTTTTCTCTAGCCCAACAGGTCAAATGTCCTATAACCCCCTTTCTTAGTACCATGTGCTTTTTCATGGCACGCACTTTAACAATATCAGTTAATATTTGTGTAATTACTTGATCAGGCATCCTGGTGGCTCGGTGGTAAAGAATCCGCCTGCCAATGCAGGAAATGCGGGTTCAATCCCTGGGCTGGGAAGATCCCCCAGAGAAGGAAATGGCAACCCACTCCAGTATTCTTGCCTGGGCAATCCCATGGACAGAGGAGCCTGGGCCACAAGCCATTGGGGTCACAAAAGAGTCAGACATGACTTAGCGACTAAACAATAATTATTGGATCATTGTCTTATTCCTGCCATAAGAACTGACTACAAGGATTAAACTATGGTTGTCTTGTTCAAGGCTGCATCCCCAGTCCCTGGCACAGTTCTGAACATAGGTGACACTGAATAAATGTGAAGACTACATGAGTGAAAGTCTAGATTGTCCTTCCTCAAAGTCATATTGCTAGCACCAAAACAGAAATCAAAGCCTCAGACAGTAGGTCCTGGGTTCCACTCCCCAACACTGCTTCCATGATCTCTTGGTTAGCCAGATTTTTCACTTAGAGATAAGAGGTCAAATTCTTCTCTAAATTCAGCAACAAGTGAAGGCACTTACAGTATATGACTATAGGCAGGATCATGTCCCTGGCACAGCCAAAGGATGGGACACTTGAACAGGTGGAGAAACAGCTTTTGTCTAAGGAGGCCTGGTTTCCGATATTCCTATCTCATTATTCCCTGCCCATCATCCTTTTTAGATTCATAACTACAGTGAGTCCCCTACATACAAACTCTGTTCCGAATGTTTGTTCATAAGCCCGATTTTTTAGTAAGTCCAACAAAGTTAGCCTAGGTACCCACCTAACACAACCAGCTATATACTACTATACTGCAATAGGTTTATAATACATTCCCATCTTTGAAAGTTCACAACTTGAAGGTTTGTATGCAGGTAACTTACTGTACCTTGTATTCAAAGAGCACCTGTGGAAGCTGACCTGAGACTTCTATTAAGTCATTTCTTCTACCCAGGTTTTCTTTCCTCAACTATAATACAGAGGATCAGGCCAGGTTTTCATTCTAAGTATGAAGCTCCCCAAGATTCTGAGAATGCAATAGGGTGAGTGAAAGATAAAATGCAACAATCTTAGAGACGACCTGGGAAAGAGCGCTGGTTCCAGCACTTCATCTGTACGTAACTTTAGGTAGATCAAAATCTCTGGGTCCCAATCTCACCTGTAGATGACAATACTATTCATCAGGGTTAGCGGGGCGATTCAATGAGCCAAGAGTTGCAGAAGCACTTTATAAACACAGAAGGGCAACTGAAATGACAACTGTCTTGCCACTGGACGGCACAGAGTAATGGTTAAATGGTGAGACTTTTAAATTCGGGTGCCATCACTCAATCCGCCTGTAATGCGGGAGGCCTGGGTTCGATCCCTGGCTTGAGAAGATCCCCTGGAGCAGGGAAAGACTACCCACTCCAGTATTTTGGCCTGGAGAATTCCATGGACTGTATAGTCCGTGGGGTCGCAAAGAGTCGGACACGACTGGGCGACTTTCACTTTCACTTCACTCATAGCGACACGACCCTGATTTTATTTCTCCGCGTTTCCATTTCTCCAGCATACGGGATTTTAAAAAAAAAAAAAAACTATTCCCACAAGATTGTTCTGAAAATTAAATGTCCCTGCCAGTTAGCAGGCTACTAAATAGCTGCTACTATTTAGTAAACCCGGCTCTCATTCTGAAGGTCCCTAGGTGATGAAATGAGCCCCGCCCCCAACCCGTGAGACTCGCTCGGATCGACAGGTCCGCCCTCAACCATAAAGGTCAAGCCGGATTTTAATGGAACGCGTCGGGGACCGTGTTGAGGCCCCCTTAATGTATCCCAGAGATCCCTGAATAGAGGTCTCCGGGACCCGGACCCCGCGCGCGCCTCCAGGCCGTGCTGAGGCCACTCACCAACTAGCGCCCAGGTTACTAGAAAAAGACTCGCGCGACCACTGCGACGGCTGCGGCGGCGGCGGCGCGGGCGTCGTGACGTCATGGGGCGGCGCAGGCGTAGTGCGTCACGGGCGGCCTGGCAGCTTGCGGAGTTGAGGTGTATACGCCTTGAGAGGGCCGTCGGGCCGCGGAGTCGGGACCTGCTTCGGGGGCATGAACAGAAGGGACGACGCCGAGATCGCGAGGTGAGTCTGGCCGGGGCAAGCCCCCGGCACGTAAGCGCCAGCCACGCGAGGGGTTCCCTAGAGGAGGCTGCTGTAACGAGACTGCTTTTCAGGCCCCGCCCCGGATTGTCCCGCCGCTGGCCCGGAAATAACAAGCCGAGTAATGACCCACAGCATCTGGGAATTTCGGGCGAGGGATTGGGAGGTAGGGATTCCAGACTTGAGCCCACCGTTAACATTAGCTTTTTAGGAACAAGCGCCTTTGCTTCTCTGCTCTTCAGTTTCCCCAGATGACTGTTCGTGGCTTCCGGGATAGTTGCATGTCAGCGTGGTGCGGAGCAAGGGCGGGGGACGAGGGGAGGTAGGGGAAAAAGCGTTTTGTGAACTCTTAATATAAGAGGTTGTCGCCATTACAAACCCAAAGGATTTTGATTGTCGTATGCCATCCTGATCGCTTACCATACTTAACCGTTCCTAGGAAAGTCCTGTGCTGACCTGTCACGTATTTTGTCATATTTAAACCTGATAAAAAACTCTTAAGTTAGGGATAATTCTGCCCCTTGTAGGAAGAAAGAAGAATCTGAGGCTCAGAGTGGGGAAGTGGCTTGCTTCATTCATTCATTCGGTAACTACTGAGCATCAGCCAGGAGCCAGGCAGTGTGCTGAGTGCCGGAGATGGAATCCTCAAAATAGGCAAGGCCCTGCCCTCTAGTAGCTTACATTCTAGTGAGAGAAGGGAAAGGTGAAACAGTATATGACACATTTAACTAATATTGTATGGAAAGAAAAAGGTAGCTCTCATAGAGACGAACAAGATGCTCTGCTCTATGAGGGAAAACTTTTCTAAGGGGGGTACATTTAAGGGGTGATCATGACTTGCTAAAGTCACAGAATAACTGGGTGCAAAAGCCAGGATTTGAGTGCCTATCTTTTGGCCCTATATCCTGCACTCTTCCCACTAAAAATGGTTGCCTGGTGTGCTATTAACCCCTGTTGGTATTGTTCCTGTTTTTAGACATGAGAAAATCAGAAGGTTCTGTTATTCAAATTTCATATCAAATGTCATCTCCCATAGAGGTAGGTCTTCCCTTTCTGCTAATTCTAAAGTAGTCCTTTCCTAGTCTCCTTGTCAAATCCCCCTGCTTAACTGTGTTTGGAGCACTTAGCACAAGTTACATCTTGACTACTTATTTTTCTTTTGTCTTATCCTGCTCCTCTTTCAAATATAAGCATCTAGAGGGCTTTGTCCCTAGTACCAAGGCACTGCCTGGAAAATAGAGGGTCTGTAAAAAAATTTTTTGAATGAATGATCTGTAAGAAAGTAAAAGGAAAGCAGGGAGAAGACAAAATGTTTCTCCTCTCCAGTTTTCACACCTGGGACTCTATTTATGCCTGTTATACCTTTCTCCGAGGAGGGAGCAAGAACTGTGGCTTGTTCATTTCTATGTTTTCATAGCCGAGGGTTTAGCAGTTAGTAGTTACTTGACAGACATAACAGAACGGATTGAACATGTGAGTGAGAGAAGAAGAAAAATACCCTCACGTGTAGGTGTATGTGTGTGTTAGTCAGTCATGTCCAGCTCCTTTAAGACCCCATGGACTGTAGCCCACCATGCTCCTCTGTCCATGAAATTCTCCAGGCAAGAATACTGGATCAGGTTGCCGTTCCCTTCTCCAGGGGATCTTCCTGACCCTGGGATCAAACTCCGGGTCTGCCATATTACAGATGGATTCTTTACCATCTGAGCCGCCAGGGAACCCCAGTGTCGGGGTAGATAGACACATTTAACAAACAATTGCCTGAAGGTTACTGTGGGCTTACTGTGTGCTAGCCTGTATAAGCTGTGCTGAGATAAATAAAAGGTAATGGCAATGTTTGATATGTCAGCTGTTGTTATTAAGATGCAGCACTGATCTCGGAGGCACTCCTAGTTTTATATGACACATTTTTTCTAGCAGGGAGTTCTAAAGTCTGGCACAGCCTGCCATTTTCCCAGTCCTTTTATTTTTTCTTTCTCTGCCACATTATACATTAAAGCTTGATTTTACATCTGTGGTCTCATTTTTGGTCTCCTCAACAGTTTTTAAGTTATAAGCAGGGTGAGGTGTATTATGTAGAGATGAGGAGACTGAAGCTAAGAGAGAAGTGGCTTCCTATGGAAAAGCCAAAAGTTGAAACCTGGCTTTCTGAGCTCAAGGTTCTTGCTCTTTCCATTACTGTCTCCATCGTAACCCTCATCCTCCTTTTGTGACTGTGCAATGAGACATTTCAGGAACTAAACCTGGTAATAATTTAAGGTAAAATTAATTGAATGCTTGTCTAGGTGCCATGCCATGTTCTTAATGTTTTTGGTGTACCACCTCAGTGAATTGGCACAGTTCTTAATTATCCCAATTTTACAGATGAGGAAACTTAGACATCAAGTGGCTAAAATAACTTGCCCAAGGTTGTAGAACTAGTAAATGGGGGGACTGGAGTAACCAAGGAGAAAGTTAGTCTCTTCTTCCTAGTGTCTCCCAAAATATTAAACATTATAAGAGCTAATTGATTACTTACTGTTGTTCTTCCATACCCATACTCTCAAGTGAAAGACTCTCTTTCTGGTGGTTTCCAAGGCTTATTTTGGGTGACAGTTGTTGAACTTGTGTATCATGTAGTGACAGACTTTGGCCCCCTGCCCAGTCAACCTCTGGCTTCAGAAGAGAAAAACTAGTTTCTGCACACAGAACCATGCCTCTTTCACCTAAAATGGAAGCTTTGCTCTCTAGCTGCTGAAGGAGCTGTCCCAAGGGGCTGGTGCTGGGGCCCTGGTTGTGGAATAGCTGAGGGCTTTGAAGGACTGCCCAGGACGAGCCCTCCTTGAGTAAATGTTTGCTGAATTGACTTTGAAGCCTCATGTTCACAAAGCGTTGCTCCTTTCCTGTCTGAATGTTCACGTTTCCTTTAGTATTTCATAGGGATTGATGGAAGCAGAAACCAAAACTCTTCCCCTGGAGAATGCATCCATCCTTTCAGAGGGCTCCCTACAGGAAGGGCACCGGTTATGGATTGGCAACTTGGACCCCAAAATCACAGAGTAAGTCTGAGATATTTTAACTCATTGCCTACAGAATTGGGATGCTCGTGGTGATGATGTTCAGAAGAATTTTCAAGGGCTATTGCATATATTTTGACCCTGATAATTATGTTTTAATTATCTTTAAAGGGAATGTGATACTGTTTTAGCCTGTTATCTTGTCATTTTTCTTACATTTGGACTCTTCTACTGCAAAGGCACAAACTTGAATACCTTTTAAACCATATATTACTTCTTTTTCCTGCTTGCCTAAAGATGTTCTCTTAGTTTCAACTATTTTGAATCTTTGTACCCAGTGACGAGGAAGTTATATCCTAAAACCAGCCATAGGCGTACTTTTGTCACCTCAAATGAAGGAACAAGCAGAAGTCTCAGTATTTTCACAAAAAGGCAGAGAGATACAACTTGACTCTAATTCATGTTAAGCAGCCATGGAACCAAGGAAATTCATTAGGGATCTTAGAAATACCCCAGTCCCTTTGGTGTTCATTCATTCATTCATTGAATGATTTGAGTGCCCACTGTGTGCCAAGTGCCATCCTAGGCAATTTTCAAAGTTTTTAAATCTGAGGAGCCATCTCTTGTTAAAGTACAGAACCTATATGTAGAAGAAAAACTCGAGAGCTCCTCTGATTAAAGGGAGGACAAGGTGCTTCCAGTGCCTTTTGACAACAGCCACCCTTTCTTGGGCAGTCACAGGACTCTGTGGACAACTCTTGAAAAACCTCTGATCTGTTCCATCTCTTTTATCCCACAGCGTGATGAAACTGAGGCCCAAGAAACGGAAGTGCCTTGTCCATGGTGACAAAACTGATTGACTTGTTTCAACTCCCCACTCTTTCCATTGTAGATATTGTAGTGGAAGGGAGTCTCTTAGCAGAGAGAATTGAGAGATTTTTCCTTAAGTAGGAATTGGTGGTGGTTGGTGGCAGGAGAGCAAAGGGTAAGTGGATTGAGCTGTACAGGGTCAGTGCTTAAAGCAAGCATGAGGTATATCCTCAGTGCTGGAAGTCACTTCCTTGGGAATGGTGTTAAAAGCATAGGGAGAAGAGACAAGGGAATCTGCTTGTTTGAGTCTGGGGGTCAGAGGAGGTGTATAAAAGGGTTGGGATTATGAGAGAGGAAAGAGATATAAACTGATACATAAGGATAATGACAGTGTTCGGTTTCTTAAACCTGCTCAAGCTCAAATTGGTTCAGTGTAGGTGTTGTTGGGTCCCTCTAGGAAATACGATGGTATTTAAGATGTGTTGCCCCCTAATTATGGTACCTTGGTCACCAGGGCCCTTCAGTACAGACTATGCATTTATTTTGGCTCTCTTTATGGCTTGCAGCCTTGAGGATGAATGTGTGAACCTGCCCAAGCTCTCAGTTAATGAGGAAATTAAACAGAAAAGCCGTTTCCATCATCTAAAACCCAAGCTGTGAGAGGATGCTCCCAAGAGTGGTTTCCATTCCCACCTCTGCTTGTCTGAATGGAAATCTGGAGCGTGGAAACAATGTCCATTGTTTTGGCTGCGATTCCCTGTAATGATACTCTAGTTCTAATTGTATCCTGCTGCTTGTCAGGAAGGTTCAAATGGGCAACTGCCACCTCAGTTTATGTCATAAGTAGGAGTATATGAGTGTTTTCTTTAGTAGGAGCATGAACAGGAACACTGCATCAAAAACTCTTCCCCTGATATCTCTGCTCTTTTTATATCCATTACTCAAGATATCAAGGACCAGACAACA